AAATACCTACCTATTTAATTTATGCCATTCTCTTTTAGAAGTTTTCATTATCAATGAAAAGAAAATAATTTTAATAAACATTTGCAGAATATATACATACTATGGTACAGTGTTACCTCCAAACCCCTTCCACTTACTACCTTACCATTACCACCACAATCCCAAAAACATGAATCCAAATTCAAATATTACACATAAAGGCCAAGGTGAAATATCAAGCCTATTTGTAGTTAACTGATCTATAATTAAAAATAAACAACAATAAATTATGCCAACAGATTGTATCAGTTTTGTTTATTAAATGTTATACATGCATGTATCTTGAGGTCTGGAACAAGATACAGATCGGATCTACAAATTGTTGAAAGATCTTTCAGACCGACAGGAGGTCAACATTACCGCTACATTGCGAAAAATTTCAACTCCTTTCCGCTACATTTTCACAAATTTTCGGGCAATCATTACCGCTACATTTTATCAAAGGAGCTAATGCCGACAACAACTCATTACCGCTACATACCGAATCAGCCAGCAATGGCACAATATTCGAGTTCCATTCAATATAATTCACTCACCATGTAGTGAAGTACAATTTGGATCTGAGTTCTAATCAAAATGAGTAAAGGCATATATGAGTCTGTAGTTGATTTAGCGTCACATGAATGTCATGGCTACTATTGAGAAGTTTGTGACAAATCGCGGTAATATTAATGCAGGATTAGTTATCAATTCATGGATATAAATTTCGTATAAATAAGACTTTTAAACACTCCAAAGTGTGGAGATGCAGGGAAACAGGTCTTATGCATGTATATATATGTTGTACTGTACATGCATAAGATGCTGGCTAACAAAAGAGGCAATGTAGCAGTAATGTATACTTTTAAATGTAGCGGTAATGTATCCTTTTTTTGTAGCGGTAATGTGCAAGTAGTGGTAATGAAAATTTTGAAAATGTAGCGGTAATGATACACACCCAGACCAACAACAACATAGCCCAATTCTGATCAAATTATTTTCATAATGATCGATTTTTTTATAACCTTGACCCTCCATTGAATAACAGTTTACTGTGAAATATTAATGTGTCTCCGATTTTTCTGAAAACCCTTAATGAAAACCTTTCAGATGAAGAAAGACATTGTTAATCTGTACATGTATCTTCAGCATCATGAGGACAATATCTTTTACAAATATGATCCTGACAAAGCCTTGCACATTTCACTCAAAGAGTTACATGTACCCCTGATGTTTCTGAAATTCCATGAGTTTTGGCATCTATCTAAGGAATGTTTAGCTAGCTGCATTCAAAATGTATAGGAAAGTATTAATCTTTAATACCCTTGCCATCTTGATACCTTCCCCCTTCCCAGGGAAACATACATGTATTCTAGATTCCCACAGCATATTTGTCAAGTCAGATTTGATTCAACATCAGTCACAAGCATTTAAGGCAGAAGCACATAAATGTAGAAGTGCATCAACCCATACCCCTTCACTGTTACAAGGAGGAGATGAAATTTACTTATTGTCCCCATTATAATAACAAACACCATTTGTCCCTCACTAAATGACAGTCACCGAACATGAACAGACACAGTCAACATCCTAACGGTTGTCCAAGTCAGTGACATTATAATTACTGGCTTAATCTATAAATTTACAATTAAGAATTCCCCTGAAATTATGAATACAGTATACAGTAAAACATGAACACTAATAGCAAAGTTAGGCAGGGGGGGTGGGGGGGGTGGATTCATTATAAACATTATTCGTTATATTCAGTACCGGTAAGTTCAATCATAATACGTTTTAAAACTTCTGGGAATTAAAATCGGTTTGCTGTAAGGCAAGCATTAATTTGTTATAAGTGCATTTGCTGTAACCATCATGTTTTACTGCAGATTTCATTCTTTTCATTATTTTGCAAATATAATAATTCTAAAGTGATCATTAGTTAAAAGTTTTAATTAAATCAATAGTGATCATATTTCTATATGGACATAATTGCATGTAAAATGTGTAAAAAAAAAATTGAATGCAATAGTGTTGTGATACATGTATCAATGTGAGGCTCTAAATTTAGTAATATTTTAATATCGTTATTTCTTATTTTTAATCTATCTTCAAGTAAGATATTTTCAGAAACATTTTGTGACCTATATCGATATGCAATACTCGAACATTCAAGAGCATGCGTATCAGATAATCAAAGCGCCCACATTAACTTTAAAACTGTGGGAGTTAGTGAATTCCTTACAATTAAGACATCATTAATATTTATATAGTTCAATCTACTTTACCTTGTTTCATGTACATGAATGTCATGTTGTACTTTTTTACATATGACTAAGTATACTAATGATACTATATTCCATAGAAGTACTTTTTCCTGCATGGTATTAATTAATTCAATTATTTTTCTAATATATCTCTCAGCAATTAATCTTCAATCTCCACATAAATATAATTTTCATCCTTTATTTTCCCTTCTCAATAACTGTAAAGGACCCATATCCCTGCATGTTTACCCATTTTCCTGCAGTCCTAACCTAGCGATTTAACAACTTCATGTCCAATTATCATTGTAAATATGACAAATATAAATTAACTTTTAGAATTAGTTACTTTTATACATGGATATGATCCATATACTGACCCTGCTAAAGAACCTTTACAAATTTTAGATCTTATATAAATACTATATACATTTTACTTACATACAGTGAAGACTCTTTAGTATATAGGGAATGGATCAATATTGTACTAGTGTCGGTCTGTGGTGACCCAAGAAACAGAAGCAACAAGCTGTTGGCAGATTGCAATTAATTATAGATAATCCTTTTATGAGTTAATCATGGTTCATTTGTTTCGTTATTTATGGCTCCTTGATTACCAGAGAACTGACGCAGTATGCCGAAAATACATCCTTTCTTTTATTCCTGACCAGTAGCCATTTCAGACTGATGTAATATTTTAGCTAATTTGGACTTAGGTAGTTTATCTGTTTTTTTAGCTAAAGACAATAGGTTATTTTTACTCCAAGTCAGGACTTTAATATGATTTTATAACAACCAGGTCATTCCTCTTCTAATATCGGGATACTGGATGTGTTGGGAAATATCCACTAATGGTACTTTTACATCTTTCTATTTACATGCTACTGTAAATCCATGGCAGGTACATGTACAGTCTGTGTACAGATTATCCAATTCAGATTAAAAATGATTACATCCATTTTCTTTTAAATATTCAAGTCATTTAACACACATGTTTATCGGAGTTATCCCCCATTGGTAGTGCAAGATGAACAAACTTGACCAATTTAACAACTACAGAAGAAAAACTTTATTCAGAGACCTTAATTTTTTTTTCTTCAATCAAGAAAGAGAGAGGGGTGGTTTCATCAATTACACATAAATGATATTTTTTTCTAATTAAGTTTCGCAATTATGTTTAAGAATGGGCTATATGGACCATGCACAACAGCATGGGTAGCTCAGTATAGTTTTAGCATCTGCATGACCAGTGATACATGGTTTCTTGGTTAATTCTTGGTCCAGCTCTATTTCTCTATTCATTCCCTCTTTCCTACTACACATGTATACATAATTGAAATTAATTTAATTGAATACTGTCTAATTTATTTTAAAACAGGAAATTTGTTTTCAGAATCTCATTTTTAACCAGTTTTGTAAGCCTCAAAAACTCCATGTGGAAAAAAGAAAAAAAGTTAAAAGGCATACATGTTATTGTATGAGTATGTCAAATATTTATATCATTATATTTGGGGTGCATCACTCAGAAAAAAAAGTATATAATCATCTTCGCTAGCCAAGGGAGATGAGAGTAAACGAATTGGACACTTGGCTAGCGTAGATGATACATAATAAAAACTTGAAATAAAAAACTTGTGTGAAAGTCAACACTGTATATGATAACTATTAATGCATAGATCTGAAGTGTCCTTTTAGTTTATAAACTGTTTCCAATCTTTCAATGAGATATGGAAGGACTAACTATACAATGAAGGAAAGAATTTACATGCAAACATATATATAAGAGACAGATCAATGGTTGTGAATATGAAACATGGGTAGCAATTACTCAAACAAGCGACAAACTTTTCATCCAGAGCATTTTCACATCTCATATTCTTTAAATTGAGATTTTAATGCATTAATAGCAATTTTTACATAATTTGTAGAAACTTATGGGTCCCAATACAAGATTTCATGAATAACTCTTTTTTGAAAAAAAAAAAAAACAACTTGTAGACAAGATCTAATATTGATATGAATACAATTAATATGTTGTGTTTATCTAAAATGCAAGTAGATAAAACGTTCTATCATTAAAATTATATTGTCCTACAGACCGTAATCTAACTGTGGGGAGGGCTTGTCCCGAGACACAGTTAGATTATTCTAACTAGAATACAAGGTGTCCCTTGTACATGTAGTCCCACAGTTCAATATATGAAGAGCAGAAGGTTAACCTTATTAAAATTATTCAAGGATATTTGAACAGTTTAGACAATTCACACTGGCGGATTAACAGGGGACAGGGGGCCCAGGCCCCCCTTTTGCCAAAATATACATAAGATTTTATAAATCAATTCTTTTTGGTGTGGCTATGAGCCCCTACCCCAAACTGGTCGCCCCCCCCCCTTTTTTCAAGATTCCTGGATCCGCCACTGATTCATACACGTGCTTCAGATATTACAAAGACCAATGCTTATGTCATAAACTAATGACAAAACCGTGAAAACGATGCTAACGAAGACAAGTTACTGATGAAAACCATGAATCAGTGTCAACATCAAGAAGATTCATGTCTCTGATTTAACAGTGTTTAAAACAGAGAATGGAAGAAAGATTTTTCCAAATAGATAAATTTGAAATAATGAGCTTTCGACAAATAAACAGGTAAAGGGTATGTTTTCTTTGTTCACAAAACAAAGCATGTGGTAGATCTATCAAAGAAACAATAACACAAACCAGAAGACGATTCCTCAGCCTCTATCAGAAGTTGCACACTCCATCACAGATATTTCACCACCTCTTTCTTTAGTATCTTGGAATTCCTCTCGAAGTTTGCGCCAAAGATTGTGATTGCTCCATTCTTTGTTTACTCTGTCCTGATTTGATAACACAGCGCGGAAACTTTTAATGTTTTCCGTTTTGTTATCTCGCAACTCGACAGGTGTAGGCGTATCCAGATTACCTCGGGTGTTATCATGGGAGGAATAGAAAGTCACGAGAAACACCGATTTACGGAATGATGATAAGTCGTACGTAAAATGGTAGACCGAGTAACGAATAAAATTATCTCAGCATCCAGAAATTTCAGAACTGGATTATATTTCACTTATTCGATATGAACTGATGAAATATATTGACTAATATTTTTTTTGGCCAAAAATTTATATTCATACTGTCAGTTAGCATACCTATCAATTTTACAGAAATCTTTAGTAAATAGAAAGACATGCACCGTATGACTCAGGTGACCAAAGAGTAGTTTTTTGTATTATCACATTGTTATTAGTATTGATAAATAAACAGAAACGTGAATTTTGATATTTGTGACTTTGTTGTAAAAATCAAAAGCTTTTTTATCCTTTGGCAGTTTAACCCCCCCCCCCCCAATTCTTATATCTTTACGCCCTCAATTCCTATCAAGAAATTTATTTATAATTAAGATCAAGGTAATATACCTTTTCTGAAAAGAAATTAAATTAGTAAATAGAGAAATAAACAAATAAATTTAAACAAGAGATCCATGAGCCACAACGCTCATCTGAATAACTGTGACCCCTCTTGTTCGACCACCAGCAGATTCTTTTCATGTATAAACAATATTTCATGTTAAATAGCCTATTCCCAGAGGACATGAACAAAGTTGAATATACACCATCTGAGGATTTTTTTTTTCAAATATAAATATGACTGATCATGGCTTTGCCCTTCTTGAGAAGATTTTTTGTATGCATTACTGTATGTAAAACTTTGATCGCCCATTGTGACCACACCCTACCCACAGGGGTCATGATTTGAACAAACATAAATTAAACACTCATATATATTTATATATATATTTCTATAAAAATCTAAATGATCATAACTTTGCTGTACATCCTCAAAAGATTTTTTAAATTAAGACCTTTTCCTGTATATTCTCTGGAATCCTTTTATTCCCATTGTTGCCAATTCAAACCCCCAGTGATCATGATTTGAACAAACTTGAACCTATACTATCTATGGATGCTTCTATATAAATATGATTAATTAATCGTGACTTTTCCTTCTCTTAAAAAGAATATTTTCTATTTATACCCATGTAAAACTTTGAATGCCAATAGTGGCCACACCCTACCCCTGGTGGTCATAATTTGAACGAATTTAAATCTACTCAATTTTTCTTCTTTTCTGGCCCAGTGGTTTTTGAGAAGAAGATTTTTAAATGACCCCATCCAAGTTTTACTTTTTCTTAATTACCCCCCCCCCCCCCTTCATTTGAACAGACTTGTATCCCCTTTACCCAAGAATACATTGTGCCAAGTTTGGTTGAAATTGGCCCAGTGGATCTGGAAAAGAAGATGAAATAGTAAAAAAAAAGTTAATGACAACGGAAATGAAGTCGACAACGACAGACAACGGACAAATTTTTATTAGAAAAGCTCATTTGAGCCTTTAGCTAAGGTGAGCTAAAACATGCTTTCCTAAAGTCACAAAATTAAAGTATATTATTTGAAGGAGTCTAAAAGAGTTTTCTATTTTCGGCGAGTTTTTGACACATTTCATGTTTTTGCTCCAACACTTTGCCCCAACACTTCGTACTATGAAGCGTAAAGCATAAAAACGACGACAGACCTTCTATAATTAACGGCCTACAACGCTGCTAGCTTCAAATTTTATCTAATTTGCTTATAATTACTTGGTCGAGCAAATTGCGCTATAAATTGAAATGTCGCTAAACAAAAAAAAAAAAAAAACAAAAAAAAAAAACAAAACAAAACAAAAAAAAAAAAAAAAAAAAAAAAAAAAAAAACAAAACTAACAATCTGAGTAGTTATTTGTAGTCTGTTGATAAGACAAGATAGAATTCTCCATTTACCCCTCTCAAAAATGTTTTCATGGCTTTTTAAAAATTCTTTTCAAAAGTATTTAAAGGCAGAGATTTTAAGCATCGCCTTCTAAAATACTTGGTCTCTGTACACCTGTCAATCAAGTGCATTAAGGTACATCATTGGAGACTAGAACTTGATTGACATTTACTTACTAGTCCCTGTGTATACCCTGTACATCTTGTTTGACACTCGTGGTGACCTTCAAATTAACTTTTGATCCTTTGATATTTACCACACATGGTATAAACAATGGAGAAGCTGTATTGCTAAGGAATTTTTAGCTTGATAATCTATCTATCTATCTATCTATCTATCTATCTATCTATCTATCTATATATATATATATATATATATATATATATATATATATATATATATATATATATATATATATATATATATATATATATATATATATATATATATATATATATATATATATACCTTTAGTATTTGAAATAATTATGATATTCTTTATGATAATATATATCAAAATTTGGTATGACTTTTTTCAAAGCTCAACAAATACTTTAAATAATAATATTTTTTAATGGGTGGTGATGCTTTGACACACATTCAATTACAAATTTATAAATTTTAAAAACTATTGAGATTAAACTTTATTTACAACTTTTTATTTCTAAATTAAAATCATCTCAAAATCCCAACATAGGTAAAGTTTGACTTCTTGGGTACTCTACTGTGTAATAAATCACTTCCTGTGTATAGGGATTTGGAGACAAACGACCACAGGTAGACTGCTAGCCCTCAAGGCATTCACACCTGTACAAAATAAGCCCCTCCCTCATCTTGAAGTTACCACCCGGTAAAAAATCTCTGCTTCATACTTCATAAAATTAAGGTAAAAGTTTGGGAGGTATCCCCCATTTGTATGAAAAACCGAGTAAGGAATAAAAAATAAATCGACGAGGAATGCAGTGTAAATGCCGTAAAAATACAGATAATATACTTGTATAGAGAATTAATGCAGTGATGTTTAACTAGATTTAGATACATCTACTATCACAGAGGGAATTGAACAAAGTAAAAGTATTGCGTCGAAGAAATGAAGATCCAAAATTACAACATCTCGGAGCTAACGGCACTTGTATGTTATTTCGCCTGATTAAAAATGATCGCGGGCAGACTTATAAGGAATTCGCACTAAAAAAAAAAAAGAATATTAGTTCGGTATGAATCGGAGGATGGGAGTGTTCCCATAATTTTTTCAATGTATATAAATTACTTTAGAAAATCAAGCTAATTTACAGTTGTTGCCCACCTCAATAATTTTGCCAGTACATGAAAATATGAATTATAGAAAATAGAACTAACTGCTTCGGGGGAGGGGGGGGGGGGCAGGTTCCCCACTTTTTGTTCCTGTAAGGTCGAACACTGGTACATACAGGATTTGGACAGCTAATTAGGTTTGTTTGTTGGGGGGGGGGGGGTTGAGCTAGGTTCCCCCCCCCAAAATGAAACCGTTGCTACGGGCCTAAGCTAGTTTATATCTGATGGGTTGCCCCCCCCCCCAAACTATAAATTGTATCCTTTGTTCCCGTGTATCTTAATATCTTAAAAAAAAATCGCTCATCAAAGACTAAATTCTTTAGAATAGTATAACACCATGTTTTGCAAATACTTTGACAACGGTGTTGAGAATGAAAAGTTGGACGTTCAAAAAATGTACAAAGTTCGATGAAAAATTGTGATCTTTTTAGACAAAACACGGGTGGTTCTTGGCATCTTTTTTTAATTTACCAACAAAATGGGATTAATTTGGAAAAAAGCTGACGACATGTGATGATACGGCAGCTAAAGGAGCAGTCGTATGCTGCGTGTGTACACGTAAAAGCATTGCAAATGTGAAAATTCGATCCGTGTACAAAGAAGGGTTTTGTATATCTTTTTTAAGAATAAGAAATATAATCCATCCATATTTTAAATACAAAAAATCCACCCATATAGGAACTAGCTCCCGGTGTGTAAAAACAAAAACAAACTCTTTTTTAGGTCACCTGAGTCACTCAGGTGACCTATTGCTATCCGTTCTCGTCCGTCGGCGTGCGTCGTGCGTCGTGTGTTAACATTTGAACATTTTTAGCTTCTTCTCTGAAACCGCTTAACCAATTTCAACCAAATTTGGCATATAGCATCTATGGGTGAAGGGGAACAAAAATTGTGAATTTCATGGTCCCTGCCCCCCCCCCACCCCGGGGCCTGAGGGGTGGGGCTAAAACCACCAAAAATAATGCAATCTTTAAAAATCTTCTTCTTTACTCCAGGACATCAAGCAGTCAAACTGTTTGCATCATTGTAACAAGCATTGAGCCCTCTACCAAAATTGTGAAATTCATGGCCCCAGGGTCAGGGGTTCTGGCCCCAGGGTGGGGCTATAAAGATCATATAGTGAAACTGCATTATTTCTTTGAAAATCTTCTTCTCTGCTCCTGGGTATTAAATAAAGTAACTTAGTACATAGTTATGAAGAGCAAGAGTGCCTCTTCCAAAATTGTGAAATTCATGGCCCCAGGGTCAGGGGTTCTGGTGTTAGGGCGGGGCTCTATAGATTATATAGTGAAAAAAGCATAAATTCTTTGAAAATCTTCTGTGCTCCTGGGTATTAGATAAAGTAACTAAGTACATAGTTATAATGAGCAAGAAATCCTCTTCAGAAATTGTGAAATTCATGTCCCCTGGGTCAGGGGTTCTGGCCCCAGGGTGGGGCTATATAGATCATATAGTGAAAGTGCATTATTTCTTTGAAAATCTTCTTCTCTGCTCCTGGGTATTAAATAAAGTAACTAAGTACATAGTTATGAAGAGCAAGAGTGCCTCTTCCAAAATTGTGAAATTCATGGCCCCAGGGTCAGGGGTTCTGGTGTTAGGGCGGGGCTCTATTGATTATATAGTGAAAAAAGCATAAATTCTTTGAAAATCTTCTTCTGTGCTCCTGGGTATTACATTGTAAATAAAGTAACTAAGTACATAGTTATGATGAGCAAGAGAGCCTCTTCCAAAATTGTGGATTTCATGGCCCCAGGGTCAGGGGTTCTGGCCCCAGGGTGGGCTATATACATCATATAGTGAAAGTGCATTATTTCTTTGAAAATCTTCTTCTCTGCTCCTGGGTATTTAATAAAGTAACTAAGTACATAGTTATGAAGAGCAAGAGTGCCTCTTCCAAAAATGTGAAATTCATGGCCCCAGGGTCAGAGGTTCTGGTGTTAGGGCAGGGCTCTATTGATTATATAGTGAAAAAAGCATAAATTCTTTGAAAATCTTCTTCTCTGCTCCTGGGTATTGAATAAAGTAACTAAGTACATAGTTATGATGACCAAGAGAGCCTCTTCGAAAATTGTAAAATTCATGGCCCCAGGGTCAGGGGTTCTGGTGTTAGGGCGGGGCTCTATAGATTATATAGTGAAAAAGCATAAATTCTTTGAAAATCTTCTTCTGTGCTCCTGGGTATTAAATAAAGTAACTAAGTACATAGTTATGATGAGCAAGAGTATCTCTTCCAAAATTATGAATTTCATGGCCCCAGGGTCAGGGCTTCTGGTGTTAGGGCGGGGCTCTATTGACTATATAGTGAAAATGCATTTATTCTTTGAAAATCTTCTCCTCTGCTCCTGGGCATTAAGGTGATAAACTAAGTACATAGTTATGATGAGGAGGTGGGCCTCTTCCAGAACTGTGAAAGCCATCGCCCCTGGGTCAGGGGTTCTGATGTTAGGGCGGGGCTCTATTGATTATATAGTGAAAATGCATTAATTCTTTGAACATCTTCTTCTCTGCTCCTGGGTATTATTTAAACAAACAAAGTACATGGTTATGATGCATAAGGATGCCTTTTAAAAAATTGTGAATTTCATGGCCCCAGGGTCAGGGGTTCTGGTGTTAGGGCGGGGCTCTATTGATTATATAGTGAAAATGCATTGATTCTTTGAAAATCTTCTTCTCTGCTACTGGAGATTATTTAAACAAACTAAGTGCATGATTATGATAGGCAAGGATGCTTCTTCCAAAATTTTTAAATATATGGCCTCAGTTTTTGGGGTTCTTGAGGAAGGGGGAGGGGGCTCTATTGATTATATAGTGAAAAAGCATTAATTCTATTAATTAATCATTAATTAATCCTGTCTGCTCCTTAGCGTTGAGCTGATAAATAAATTGCTTAGCTATAATGAAAATGGGAGCTTCAAACAGAATTTTTAAATCTTGTGGTCCTAGGGTCAGGGGTTCTGGCATAACGAGGGGGGGGGGGGGCTTTTGATAATATAGTGGAAAAGTGTTAATTCTTCAAAGTCCATAGTTATGGTGATGAGGGTAACTCTTCCAAATTTGTAAATTTGTTGACCCTTGGTCTTGGGTTCTGGTGTTGGGTAAGGCTTTGTTGAATCTGTAGTGAAAATGCATTGTACCTGTGAAATTCTTCTCTACTTCTGGGCATATTGGAAGAAAACTGAGTAAAAGTTTAAATGATATAAGTAAGCGTATTTCTACCAGATTTTTGAACATCTGGACCATTTGTCTAAGCATTCTAGTCCTGGGCAGGGCTCTATTAATTTGTATTCTACTGAGAGAAGTTATTCCCCTTTTCCGTTCACCTTTGATAATTAATCACTGTAAATAATGTATTTGAAAGGTAAATAGAATAAGATAATTATGCAAGAATGTTTATCATATAATTCAAAAAGTATTTTCTTAGTTTTAATAATCAGGTAGACTTGTAAGTAATAGATAAATAAAAATGAGACAAAAATAACTTACCTTATTAAAAGTTCTTCAAAGACCATAATAGAGGTCAATGCTAGAAGTCTTAATATGGGTTTAAAAATAGTACAAAAGCACTAATAGTTTGTTAACAGGCTGCCTGGTGATAGTGTTAAGTGGGGCACAGATTAGAACTTAATTTATGAGTTGATAGTGAATACTAGACTAATTATTTTGTTGATCCTGATCTTCCTACTTCTCTTGCTCTCGGGCAAAAAAGCTTCATCTATCAGTGTATTTAACTTCTAAATTGTTGTATTATACTCAGGTGACCGTTAAGGCCCTTGGGCCTCTTGTTCTAATTAAATTCTCTAATTAATATTTCCTCCCCCATTCTTGTAAGAAAAAAGACTGAATTACGCTAGAAGTACTGCACCTGCAATCCCCACCCAAGTCTTCTCTCTCTCTCTCTCTCTCTTAGTTACAGCTTAGAAACAATTTAAACCCGTAAGTGTTTTAGACAAGATACATTGTTACCTAACTCATACATCTGTGCTTGTTTACATTAAATGTATGTAGACATAAATTTCTCTCTTATTTTTTATTATATAATTTTGTTTTTCTGCATTTTATACCCGATTGTATTCACGACGTCAAGCGTGACGTCGCGATAGTTTATAGCGTCATTCTTAAAAGAATTTTAAAAAATGTTACATTTTGCAATGTAAAGGCAACAATTCGCATTTAAATTACGAAAAAACTAACTCGAAGACATATTAATTTTTTTTTACATAGATATGTCTGAAATCATCTCTGTGTGAAATGACCAAAAGGGGAACAATTTCGTCTGCACCATTTAAAAATTACTGAGATTTTTTGAGACGAAATCTTGCCTGAAAACGAGTCAAAAATGACGTTTTTCCTGTAGAATTCAATAGTATAGCGTCGAAAATGTTACGACAACGATGGCATGTTTAGGATTTATTAACACAAAAACGATGCAGACGAATTTCATAAAATTTTCAGAGAATGTACAAAAAAGTACGAGATTCAAATAACTAATTTTCATAATATGTTTTGAGCAATTTTAAAAGGTCACCAACCCCGCAACCCACGTTAAAATAAGGGAGTTATGTATTTAAAAAAAAAAGCATATACTCTTTACAAAATATCATTTTTTTTTTTTTTACTTGAATTGGAGATCTCTATCCCCCTCCTTTTTTTTGGATGAGTTTTAAGTGCATTTCATGTTTTTTGCTCCAAAACACCTCAGCGCTTTTATGTCACCCTGATTTAATAAAGGAGTACCCACGATAAAAAAGAAAAAAAAAATCAGCTGGTTTCAAAATTTCATAATTACATGTAATTGTATATATTTATAGGTATCAAAGAGTATTCTATTATCCGCGACGATTTTATGCAGATTTCATGTCACTTTTTTGACCAAAAACTGTTAAATTCTCTCATGTTTTCTGACAAACAATCTGATTTAAAATTAAAGGGTTCTGTACTTATGTTTGCAAAAGTTCTATACCCCATCTAGTCCAAAGTCTAATAAATCATGGCTTTACCTATAAGTTACAACATGTAAAAAGTAATGCAATTTCCAATGCTAATAAAGAAATTCAGCCAAACCAACAATAGTATATCTTTTATTTTTTTTTTCATGTAAAGTACACATACATGTGCGCCTTCTCAAACATGCGATCACGTGGTGAATCGAGAATGAATTGTAAATACTATACTTAATATTTGTAATATACAATTGTATGCGATTAATGTCAAATAATTTATGTAGTTCTAGCAAAAACACTTGGTTCCCTGGTATTAATTTTTGTTCCGCCCGGACTCTTCTAGCATTCTCCTTAAATTGGTATTAAGCTCATGAATCAATTTCATTTAAACGATTTTGAAAAAAAAATATATTCAAATTAATCGTATAAGCAACTTTAAAGAAAAGAAAAGACGCCACTTTTAGAAAACTTAATATTAATTTCATTCAATTCTTATAAGCGTAAGATATGCGAAAGAAGACAGAGTTTTTATTCCAGCTCTCTGTTATTAAACATGTGTCTTATAATAATTTTCCTTTCCTCGTCTTATCCTACAATATCAATTGGTTCTCCTGCTCTGTAAAAGATAAGAAAAATCCCAAAATTGTAATTACCTGGATGACAACACTGATTTCAGGGTTGGGTTTTGAGCCTGTTAAGTTAAATAGAAAATATTAAAAATCGATTGGCATGATCTAAAGAAAGTGTATTCAACTTACTCCATTTCGCAGATGAATCCAGCCTTGACTGTACAGAAATGGTCGTTCCAATGGAAATTATCCGGCGCAAAGAACATGGCGCAGTCCTGGTGACTCTGGTAGTTGTCCGGCTGGTTCGGTGACCAGTCCCTAAATGATGCCGTATTCTGGGTAGATGTCCATACCCACTCTCCCTCAAAGACAATATCTGATACTCCTATCCAGTACCCTTCTGCAATAGAACAGATAATGTAATTTGTATATGATTTGTGGTGTAAGACAAGGAATGCCCTTCTCCCTCCTCCTTTTTTTATTTAACTATCTCCTTATCCCCTCCATCTCTCACCCCATTTCCTTATGCCTTTTTTCTTTGTTCTCAGTCCACATGCATCTTTACATAGCCCCTTTCCGCATACCATACACAAAACCCTGGACCCTCCACTCCCCTTCTTTCGAAGATATGTTTCAAGGTCAAAGGACAGAATAAAATTATCTTGAAATAGGAAAAACCCAATTTATATTTCTTGAGAAGGATGCTTTTGAGCTACTTTTTCACCATCACATCATTGCTATCAATATAAAAAATTAAATCATTTATATCCTCCTCACTCTTTCCGTTCCCATTCTGATAACTTAATCAAAAAACTCGCCTTGTGGATTTGTTCCAACGATATGTGAGCGGAAAGTTGTTTTCGTCAACCGTCTCGATTTCCATCAGCCTCGACCCACGCCTTTGGCAAAATGACTGAAATTTCATGCTTATATAAGTATATAAAATAAAATAAATAAATGTAAAAATAAATACATTTAAGATTTGTTCCACAAAATCTAACTAGTTAAAATAAATTGAGGAAAAGCAATTAAAAAAAAAAAACGCGGATAAGTAGTATGATATGACACAGAAAATCAGAATTTTTACGCGGAAAAGCAGTATATCGCGATCGAATCACGGAAAAATGGAACTGCGTGTGAAATAAAATACTTCCTCCTGTACATCGAAGTGCATCGAATCTCATTCTATACTCTCTTTTGGATAAACTTTAAAAAATGTGATTATGTTTTGTGTCGTATTACATCAAAAAGTATATCAGAGTAAAATTAAGTATTTTGTTGTATTTTTTTTAATACCTCAAAGGTAAGTTAAAAAATAAAATGCATTACTGTATGGCATGTATACGACCTTTTTTTTCTTATTAAACAATCGAGCTGATTGATTGATACAAGTCTATACCCCGGCTTCGATGAAGTCTTCAGGAACATCTTTTATGAATAGGTAACAAGAAAATCCGTGCTTTATCCAGTGAGGAGGGCAGTCTTCCGACCATGCAACTGAAAAATCCAACCATTCTTATAAATCAGTAGATAAGTCTAAAATATCTTTAATTGCAGAATGTAAAATACAAGTTTCTTTTCATGAATAGCCTTTTGAGTACTACTAAAGACTGCGTTTTGGTGTTGTATTTTAATAATTGAATCAAGTGAACTGTAACATCATATAAATATACAAGTATACCATACAAGCGCGGGTCCAGATTTATTTCCGCGGGGGAGGAGGCACCCCAGTCAAAAAGAAAAAAACAAAAACAAAACAAAAAAAAAACCCAAACAAACAAACAAAAAAAAAAAAAAAACAAAAAAAAACAAAAAACAAAACAAAAAAAAAAACAAAAAAAAAAAAAAACACATAAATTTAATTTGTTGGCAAGCAATAAATAAATAAATAGATATAATGAATTCAAAAAAAAAAAAAAAAACAGAATAAAAAAAATAAACTCCTTTCTCAAACGTAAAAATACTTATTCCGGGGTAAGAGGGAGGAGGGGGAGGGGGTAGAGCCGGTTTCCTTCATTTTTGGAAGGATCATATAGTATGACTCTTTCTACCACCTTAAGAGTCTAAATGTTGTGTGCATGTTTTCCAGGCGGTCAAGGTCATTTTTTGGTTAATTTATGCACATTTAATCAATCCGCAAATTCAAAGAGAGGGGATTTAGAGGACTTGTTCACCTCCCCCTGATCCCCTATAGATCCGCACATACATGAAATAATTTTTGATAAGAACCATACAAAATATATACCTTTTTCCTGCAATACAAACAGTTAGATCATATGTTGCCTATACATTATTTAATACAGTTAGATAAAGGTATATAAGATATTTGAAACTTACCATTTGCAAAACAAACAAAGATGAATGCAAGTAACCAGTTTTCTACCATTTTTTTTCGGTTTTCAGGTTAAGTCCTAAGTTCTTATCAGAGCAAGGTTATATACTCTTGACATTACAGGGCATAACAAATTATTTTATCTATGATTGTATAAAAGAAAGTTTGCAATGAGAGATTATAGTTTATTTATAGCTGTCATATTTGTACAGTGTCTCACAGTACAACGTTTATGAATGGATTACAATAAATTTAATTTTTGAGAATTCATGAGGACATGAACTACAACGCTTCACGCCGGTGCTAACGCGCTTCATGATAAATATGTAGGCGTGAAGAACTGTAGTTCATGTACCTCCTGAGTTCTCAAGAATTAAATTCATCTCTTATATTTACATTATTTTTCTGATGACTTGCCACATATTTTTGTCATTCAATGATCATTTTTGAAAAAAAAGTTTGCACTATTTTTGACTTCAATTACATCACAATGGAAATTTTATATTCTTATTCATCCCACGGTAGTACCGTTCATGAGAACGTAAACTTTTTTGATCATTTTACATTTACCTAATCATCACTAGTATATCTAATATGCTACCTTTTCCAATACAGTGGTATTGTCAAATATCTTGGTGTCATGACAAGACTCTTCAATGACCTTCTTGCCCGAAAACCAATTTCCCAACGTGCTATGCGCACCCTTTTTGCCCAGATATGAAGTAGGTGATTTCCTATTGTGGTCAGCGTGTTTGCACACATAGAAGCGACCTCCAGTAAAAAATCAAATAACTATCAAATGGTCTAGAAATCACTCTGTACCTTGGTGTCCTTAATCGGTGCACTCAACTAATGTCAACCAATTCTTGAAATGGTCGTTTTCTGAGTATTCAATGTCATGGCTATTTATAGAAATTATTCCTACATTTGCCAATCTATTTGGAAACAATATTCACTAGGAAAAAGTATTATTTTGTTTATAATATAAATTTTCTCCAAGGGAACACACCGCAGATATCATAGTGACGGCTTTGTATGTGTCTCGAAGGTCAAACTATAAATAACTCAATTGGGAAAGTACGTGACTAGTGACTCAGGGAGTCTGGGGTTCGAATCATATTCTTGCTTTTGGCATTTTCCTCATTTCCTGTTACACTTGGTGCCGTGACCATGCGCTGACAGTGATAGTTGTTGACCTCATCCTCTTCTCCTTCCTCTGTATATTCTTCACAATCATCATCATGCTGATAACAAAATTCATGCAATACACAACAATTAATCACTACTTTAACAATTTACAATGTCCTGAATGTCTGCAAATTTCAGGCTGCGAAATACATAGTCCTTTTAGTACTTTCAGTGACCATTCTAGTACTGTTTTGGATATAATTATAGGGATACTGGCTTTGTGTAAGGTTCCACGAATCCTGAAGGGAGTCAACATCCACATTTCAAGACCAAAAGTTGTGCATTGTTGGGAAACATCCCCACTGGATCTTTCTGAATTCTCTGGTACAACTCTGAGTTTTTAAAAACTCGGGAGTCATGCACAGATCCTAGCAAATCACAGTTATCATTTGATAAACGATTTTTTGAATCACACACTGCCTTAAGAATAACGGAAGGAAATGACTGTCGATTAATATAATGTTTTCTGGACATGATTTGTAATTTTTAGCTCACCTGAGCCAAAGGTTCTGATCAACATTTGTCCGTTCTCTATTGCCGTCATTGGCGTCGATGTAAACTTTTCACATTATCATATTTTTTTCCAGAACTCTGGGCTAATTTCAACTAAACTTTCCACAAAAGGAATACAATTTTGTTGAAATGAAGGGCTGCATTTTCTTTTAAGGGGATAAAATTAAGAATTAGTGAAAATTAAATGGGTGAATAAAAAAAATGACCAAACATACATTTATCAACCTGCACTAAAAATACAGGCAACGGGAGTTAATGTCTATGTCTCAGTATATGTCTTTAGATAGTGTTTAAATACCTGCCGAATATTTCATAGATATCTCAATTCACAAAAATGTTATGCTCATAATGGTGCTAAAAATGTCAGGAGTGCAACACCTTTTTGTGACATTTAAAAATTCAATATTTTTTGAAGATCTGTGAAATATATAATAATGGTTTCTGTTGGAAATAAAGACTTTCCTGATAGTACTGCGGCATAGGTAACCTATTGTGCACTTTGTGATAAAAGCACCATTTTTGGCACAAATAAAGACATTCACAATATAAAGAATTCTGGATATTGGACCATCGCAGAGTCAGGCCCTGACGGCCATGGCAGCCATTTCACAAAATGGCCTCCAGAAATTACGTTTATGGTTGACATTTCCTGAACACTTTCACAGATATAACCTACTATAATGGTTTAAAATAATAAGAACACTATATGAGTTAAACGTACAAAAAATGTTTAATGGTTTTAATAAAAAAATATGCATATGACATCACTTTCTAACAAACTCTTTCATAATTTGAAAAAAAGATAAAGTCAAAATCACATTTGCCTCTATCTAAATTACTAGTAATATTGATTTAATAAATGATCCCTCTTAGATACAAAAAAAATAAATAAATAAAAAGAGATTATAAAAAACATATCCCGTTATCAACATCATTGATTTCAATGCAACAGTCTAATCTCTCTTGCTATACGCCCCAAGTGGTAACAATTACAATATCCACAATGCTGTGATATTATAGAGTCCATATTGACTTCAAGCAAGATACATTGACACATGCTAGAGCTCTTGAGTTTGGATTTTTTTTTTTACATGCGCTCTTAGTTTTATGCCTTCATCAAATGACAAGAGAAGTATCTGCACAATTTCGTTTAATTGCTATCTATAACATGAACGTCTTAGCAGCAGTCTGCTTTGCTTTGCACTTTTTTCAAGGAAATATAAAATAAAAATATAAATGTATGCCTTTTTAACTAGAATATCTAGATCTAATGTGAAACTCTTTGAACTTGCTAGAAATTTTATCGAAGGAAAATTTTATGATCATTTGGACAATGATATAAACCATCCAAAGTATATAGTTTGTCACTTGATCCTCGGGCTACATATCCTTACTGAAAATCTTACATGCACAAAAGAAAATCACTTCTGATTCTAAGATGTAGATTACGGTCTCAAAAAAATAGACACGAGCTTGATGCTTTTGCTGAAAGAAATCTTTGAGATTTCCTTGTTTCATTTGAGAGACAATTTAGAGAGGAGATTCACATCACAT